ATGTCCAGGGAGATCTCTTAATATATATATACTGATCATTTGTTCTGTGAGAGTGGGCTGGAACCCTGGTAGCAAACCTGACTTTCTTCATTGCCAGCTGTGGTAATAAAATTACACCACTGTGGCAGATTCTGAGAGGCCAGATGTTCAGATGTGGTACAGCCAATGATTTTTCCTACTACAACGATATCTTTGTCTGGACAGCTGTTTGCTCTTTCTTCCTACTACACATCTGATCTGGGGACTAAATTATTTCCTTATTATATCCTGGAATATGATATATAGGCTTCCGAAACCATTTAAAACTTTCTCACCAGAAGTTTCTAAAACATTCTAATTTTTGCCATCTGGTTAGCATTGACATTCCCTTATCTCACACACATCACCACAGACTAGAATACTTGTCCCATAGCAATTTAAATAACAATGGCTTGTGAATAAAACTGCAAAAACGGCCAAAAACTAGAATTGGAAGGGTTTAAGTCTAACAATATGACAAGCCTCCTTGATTATATAGGGAAATATTTCAGTATTGCCTTCCAAAGATTTGAGCTTTTCATGTGTGATTCTTAAGAAATACAACAGATTATGTAAAGGACTGTTTTTAGCATGAAAACCTTCCATTTTAAAACTCTTACAGTTCCACCAAGTTTGCTGTATGTCAGACTCTGGGCTGATGTTGACCCAGTCTCTCATAGTCCCTTAAGGTTATAATGATGTCTGAGTTTGTTTTGGTTTTTGGCCTCCCTGATGAACTTTCAATAAGGTCATCGAGAATTGGTGATTTCAGTGGCCCAAAATAACACTTCTTGCTTTTACCTTGTGGTGCGATGCTCCAACATGCTGAATAAAACTTCTTTCCCCAAATTGCTCCTGGCTTGTTGGGTACCATTGCACCTCAAGGATGTCGCTATCTCCTTCTTCAGATATCACATGTTTTGTCGGCAAAACTGTGAGTGAGCCCACTGCCTTCGACACGAGGCAATCCAACACTTGAATTGTCTCAGGATCTGTCCTTGTGAACATGACAGACAAATCTTGAGGGTGTTAAAACCTCTTCTATCTCTCAAATACTCTCTGCAATAGCCTAAATGTACTTAGTCTTTTTTATTCCAATCCGGATAATTCCAGCGAAATCAGATTTCGTCTTTGATGATGTTCTTCTCCACAACAAGGTGCAGAAACTCTTCTACCTCCCTGCAAGTATTAAGCAAGTTCTCCACTGCTGGTAATGAAATCCTGATGTTATATCATCTTTCTGTGATGACTCTCCATTGCTGTATGTTTTTGGACACCCTTAACTTTTCTTCTCTCTCATTAAAACTTCTGGGGTTGAAGACCTGGCACTAACATCCTTGCCTACAGAGCTTTCTCGATGCAAAACAACTACAACTGCATGTGTTTTCTTTTAAGGCAATGGTTGGGGGGATTAAGCAGCCCTCCCTTTAAACCAACAGCTTTCTAATTAAATCACAATAAAGGTTTGATCAGCTGTCCTGTCTTCAACGACACTTTTCACTGAGCTACTGATAGGATCGTTAAAAAGCTGCTAGTGGCATGGCAAAAAAAATACTAATTAAGCTTTTATTATGAAGTTGATTTAATTAATTTTGCAATTAATAGCAATTCACCCAATTGTCATTAATTAAAGTAATTTAAACTTTATCTGAGTTTTCATAATAAAATGTTACGTTAAAACGTGAAGCTGGTAAAGTTGTCAAAGCTTTTGGCCACAGATATTGGATCATGAAGTTTTTATCTGGATTCCTTTGCTTTTTTATATATCAAGATTTACATTTTGGAACCTTCAAATTGGAAATGCACTAAGAAACCCATGAAGTTAGGTGTGCCACTGTGAACTAACATAAAAGGCTCGGTGCAGCGTTTAATGTGCACTGGCATTAACCCTCCCTGTGATACTCTGCATGGCTCAGGGTGACGTAATGGGAATTTAAATGTAACTCTCACTCAGATCCAAATTTTCACTTTTACTGGCTGGCTCCAGTGATGCTTCATTGTGCTTTTACCAATGAAAACCTGGAAAAATCAAACTATGAGGTGAGGTAGTTGGTGGTGTTGGTAGAAAGGAGGGGCTAAACCAAACCACTCTTGTCCTCCCAGGCAGTCTGGAGCCCAGAGGCTCAGTGTACTGAGGGACCCTTGCTGAGAGCAGAAATGGCATCTGAGGCTTGTTGTGAACCCTAATGGAGGGCAGCCATGGAAAGCCTTCCTGTGTTTGGTAGTAAACCACTGAGTGCTGCAAGTGGATGAAAACTGATGAGTTTGCAGCTCTGCATGCCAGGCAAAAAAAAAAAAAAAAAGATTATTTTCTACATGTCCTAACTTCAACTAAATAGAAAGCTTTACCTCCATCAGACCACCTAGATTCAATTATTTCACTAAAATGCACAATAGTGAGACACCCCTCCCCACTCTCTTGACTACAGTCAGCATGGGAACTCCCTTGAGGGTTGAGATTAGGGTCAGCATATTTTGTTCATTCATTCACAAATCCAGAGAGTTCACTCATGGACTTGGTAAAGAAAAGACTATTTGATGTGCATTCGCTCTTGGCATTTATGTTTCAAAACAAAGAAGGTCACAAACTGTTATTTAAACTGGACAAAAAAAAGTGAATTCTTTATTATAACGGGTCAAGGGTTGAAGATGCATATTGGCATAATTATATTACATTAAAAACAATATCCCTGGTCAGTAGGAAGCAGATTTCCTGTGTGGGATGAAAACTTTTTTGTCCATTATGGATAAATTTTAGGAATGCCTAGGCTTCCAACACACAGATGGGCATTCCTCGTGTGGGTTATACAGTATATGAGCCAAAAGTGGTAGGCTATCTGGGCTCTGAGATGTCACAGTAGGTTGACAGAGGAAGCAAATGGGTCAGATGTTCATTTAGAAGTGCATAAATGGGGCACAGATGCTTATAATGCATGAGGAACTTTCATAAACCCAGCTCTACTTACAAATTATACATCATAGCTGTTTAGAGTAATAACTTAGTATCTTAAAATTAAGTGGATTTCAAAGATTAGAAAATGTTTTCTTGATATATTGATTTAGTTATTCCAGATTAGTTGAATCTTGAAGTTAAAGATAACCTGTCCTTGTCCAACTTCATTACAGTTAATACAGGAAATTAATGCTGCAGGGATTGCACCACCAGTGCTATTCCTGTGTGAAACATAGTGAGAATGGTGAGTGGACCTTTCCATTGAGAATAACAGTGTGGTTGCTTTCGCTTTTCACCTGAACCTATTCTTAATTTTCTTTGATGAATTTAAGATTGAATTGGTCATTAAAGATGATAGCAGGCAGATTTAAATATATCACAGCCAATAGTGACAATGCATTTAAACTGAGTAGAACTGTGTGGCATCGTTTAAAGCACCAAGCAGAAACAAAGGAAATTGTTGAAGACTGGAGAGACACTGGATTTCTAAATTGTGCAAGAGCACAGCAACCTGGCAGAGGTGGACAATCAAAGTAAAAATTATGTACAGAGATAATATCCGAAAATTTGCATTTCAGCTCCATGGGGACAAATCACTTGGTTGAGTGAACAAGGTGAAGGAACAGGGAGAGTTTTTACTTTTTGGACCAACTGCCAACCTCTGCACCTGAACTAGATTATTCTTTACTGAACAATTGGAAGTATTATTTAATTCTGAAAACATAGATCATTGATTCTCAGTTTCCCCACAGAAATATCATGTGGTCCCTGTGAACCCATTGTCATGTCTTGTTTGGTCTTGTAGGCAGGATTTACTTTTACTTCCGTAAACATTCAAATTTTTTTTTGAATTTTTACGGAATGACTATGACCTGGATGACTGAGAACCTTCATCAGCAGATTTACTTTTACATCTCTACATTAACCCTCCCTTAAAAATGACCATACCCTTTAAGGCTATGCATCATTAAGTAGTGTTAGAGTTTTAGAGTATTAGATATCAAATTACGCGGTCCTACAATACAGCCCGGATCAAGCATTCCCATTGGCCCAGAAATACGACAGAATGACGCAAAATCCATTTATCAGTTTCATTTATTCTTAACCAAACTCAAACCAGTTTCTTTCATTAGAAATAATTCTAGTTTGAGAGACATAAAAAATACTAATTATGAGAGGTAATAATACCCATAGTCATGGGCGGTTCTAGACAGGGGCCAACAGGGGCCAGTGCCCCTGTAGATCATGTTCTGGCCCCTGTATTGAAGACATAATCCTCAAAGAAGTTCTAATAATGATCTGCACTGAAACAGACATGGTTACTAATAGGTCTTTCGGAAATATTTGTTTTCTTTACAATTTTATTTTTTTTAACTAATTATTTAAACACAATAAGGTGACAGCTTCAGTGGTAATGAGATAGGATCTCAAAAAAATACTCCTACTCAGATTTTATAGAAAATTGTAAATGTAACTTAAATAAAGTAAAAAAAAAATGTACAATTCCTAAATTATGAGTGTATATTGACCTAATAAGAAATAGAATTTTAATTAAACCTAACTGAATTTAAATTTCACCTCATGCATCCTAATATATTGGAATCCCTTGCCCTGTTTTTCATTTCATGCTTATCTGTGCCCCCATGAAAACACACTGGCCCCCTCCTGGCCCCCTGGTACATTTGGTCTAGAACCGCCACTGCCTATAGTCATTAAAATAATCAGAAAATATTAACCAATGAGCTTATAAACAGGCATAGTATCCGTTAAATGCAGTATTTACTGCAGAAGGTGACCCGGTTCACCAAGCATTAAACATCCCAAGCATATTAAAAGATGTTTATTACACATAATTTCAGTCATGCAATCATTAGATGAAGCCTTGGAATGATATAAATGGACAAAGTATCAGGATATCGGGTTGTTTATATGTAAGAAAAAAAAAGGCAATGAAAGTTTTTTTTTATCATGTGTTGACATTTCTGTCAGTCATCTGAGATCAGGGTCACCCCACCGCAGGGCCGCCTACCTTGAAGCAGCTGCTGTCCTTCAGTTGGTCCGCAGAGGGGATGCGCTCACCTCCGTCAGCTGTGGTAGCGGTCCACAAGTGAAGAAAGTGGCAAATAAATTTGAACGGCAGTGGTTCTCATGAATGCGCTCAATATTTCCCTTATAAATGATTATAGTAAAAAAACAAACAAAAAAACAATCCTTATCCTCGGGAATAATGCTTGTCCTCTAACTAATCAGTCTGGGGCCACATGCATCTTCTTTTACAAATGCAAACATCTTGTCTGCCAATTAAATGAAAAGTTTATGCAAATTCAAACCTGCAAAAATACATAAACTAATAATCAATATCAGTTTGTGGTAATTTCTTTCATATTATTAAAACTTTATGAAAGTCACAAAAAAATAAAAATAAAAAAAGATTCCGATTTTTGAAAAATAATAAAAAAGTATTTTTTCTAGCTATCAAATCTCTGCTGCCAGCTTCAGCTGTCCTTGGGGGCGCATCAAAGTGAGGGATTCAGTCTTCCCAAGCATCCAGGTTACACGGAGCGCACAGAAGTGGCCAAAAGTTTCTCTCAGCCGCTTTTTCAGCTGTCTAATTCCTTCCAGACGGATGCGTGTGTATGTGTGTCTGTGCGTGGAGCCTCCTTTATGGCTGCTGTGACTCCAAAGCTCCTTTTTTACCGGGCTGCAGCAGATTGGTGTTGTTTTAATGTGAGGGGGGAGAAGATTTTTAGGAGGGGGTGTAAGGAGGAGCATTGGGGAGTATAAAAAGGCGGCAGGGTAGAAAAAAAGAGAGCCATCCAAACTCATTCAGATTTCTAGAGGTGGCGAGACAATGGATGGCCATTCACCCACTCCCTTCAAAACATCTTATTATAACAGCCAGGAAAACCAAGGGAGAATTGAGAGAAAAGCAGTTGAAGATGATAGACATGATGTCACTATATCACCAATAAAGATAAACCTGTCCGACAATGTAGGAGAGTCTGAAAGCAGACCGATAACAGGCTATGAGTAGAGCACGTGTGAGCTGGATGGAGGAATCTGTCATTTCATTGAAACTCTGTGTGCAGTTTGCACATTTCACCAGCAGGGTGTGCTGTTTCATACAGAACTCAGCAAAGGAGCTCTAGTCTGTAAAATACAGAAGCGCTGCTCAAATCTGAAAGATTTTCACAGAAACACAGTATCAAGAACTCCTGTACCAGGAAAATGAAGATGTTGCACAAGACTAGTTGTGTGTGACATTACTTTTAAAACAGGCAACCCCCCCAACTTTTTATGATCTCCAATTACTCCATCATCCCAATTCCAACATGCATTTATCCACTGAATATGGCTTCACAAGATAAAGAGATGTAAAGAAATTGAGCAGAGCAAGAGGATCTCCAGTGTACTTAGACTTTATATACATGCTGAAAAACCATAAAATATGGCTTCTGACTTGTTGCTTCCCATCCAAAGGATTCTTAATTACTTATTTAAAGAGGCAATACAGATCTTTCTAATGATAATGTCAAAACACAGAACTCCAGCACTCTTTTTCTTGTTTTTATAGCTTGGGTTGTACCTTATGTTTTTTCCCTTTACCTGGAGTTATCATTGGTGTCTGAGTTGAACAAGATTTAGATCCCTTCTTAGTATCCACAAAATTAAGAAAAAATAGGCTTCAGGCTTATAGATGCATCAGTGCTGATGTACTGAGGGTCCAGTCTTCTTTTAGTCATAAAGGGTTGAACAAAAAGGCAATTTAAAAAATATTTTATTTCACAGCATACCTCTCATGAATCATATTTTTTTTACATTATAAAACTAAAAGGAAATTTTGTTTAGACACTCAGCTCCGATTGCACAGTTAGAATGAAGGCAGAAATATAATTCTCTGACGACTCCCTTAAAAATATTAAGCCAAATGAAATAAGTTGGTTGGTCATTTTGATTGTCAGCAACACGGAGTTTTTGAGTAAGTTTATAAAAAAAGTATAAGAGTATTTGTCAATTTAAAGGACTAGATAGAACAAACTCCTCATTTTCAACCCTACACTTCTCTGGCAGTAACATACAATTTGATAACAATTTAGGACAGTCTGAGCTCCCAAATTGCTGTGGCAACAAAAAAAAGAGGTTACATTTGCCTAATCTGAAATATTTTTTCGTTCTCTCATGTGGGATTTAATCTAGAGGGCTGAATGTTGCCTTGTCTTTATCAGAAACTCCATTACTTCTCAACCTGCTGGTCCAAAATGGTCTGCTACTAAAGTATGGAGCAAAACTGCTTAAATTTGCAACAGCGTTGGCCAGTGGCTCTGAGAGGCACAAAACCTGGAAGTTACAGGTCTAGTGCCCCTAGTGGCTAAAAGTTACACAATGTTGATTTAACATTCATTCCTAACAACTAATTCCTATACCTAGAAAGAATACAACGGCATCCAGTTGCATGTCATTATGAACAAGCATCAGTAATGTGTGAGTGATTTTGTTTGTGTGTGTCTGAGAAATTTTGAATGTATATTGAGAACTCTAGGGCAAGGCAAGGCAAGGCAAATTTATTTGTATAGCACAATTCAGTACAAAGACAATGCAAAGTGCTTTACATGATTAAAATATAGGAAAATAAAACAGAATCAAAACAAGTATAAAAATAATAAATAAATAAAATAAAAAATACAGAAACAAAAAAGAACATTAAAAACAGTTGGACTAAAGAAAACAAAAAAGTTGAACTAATGATGTTTCAGTTGAATTGTTTAACTAGAACAGTAGAAGGCAATCCTAAACAAATGTGTTTTTAGTCTTGATTTAAAGGAACTCAGGCTTTCCGCACTTTTACAGTTTTCTGGAAGTTTGTTGCAGATAAGTGCAGCATAGGAACTAAATGCTGCTTCTCCATGTTTAGTTCTGGTTAGTTCTATGGTCTCTGCACGCTTCACCAACTCCTCCTGTAAACAGAGAGGTGCATGTTCGGTCTTCCTTTAGTCTACTCTGACCTCCTGGGTCTTTGGATGAGTATGTGGAAGGTCTTATACCTAAGTGGCTCCATAACCTGGATTTATCTACACTGCTTCGCTTCTGGATAAGTGACTTTCTCACAAACACACACCCAGTGGTGAGGATAAGAAAGATCATATCTTCCCCACTGGTCCTCAACACTGACATGTAGAACCTCAGGGTCCACATGTCCAGAAGGACATTTTTTAAGGTTGAGCTGTTCATAAAAAGGCTCCTAACATTGGTGTAAAGATGCTACAGAAGAGTTGAGCTGAAGTCATAAAATGTTAATGAGACAGCATCCTCTGTAGAATGAGTCTACCTTTAAATGACCTGTAGGCTGTACAGTCCAGCAGGGACACTATCTTTGCTAAGGAGGGTTCTCTTAAATCACCAACTGGGATGGGTCAATGTTTTGGGGAGATGCACAATGATGTAGGACTTTGGTCTGGCAGGGACCATGAAAGCTGCTGGGAGAGGTTGGAATAAACTAAGATTGTCCTGTCACAGATCACCACCTGATTGCTAAGTGCTTAAATGGGGTACTTCACTTGGAACTTGAAGATGTTTAATATCTCAGTATAAATATAGCTTTGTCAGTTCTGGCATGGTTATAAGTAGCAGGTCTCAGAATCATCACATACTAATAAGGTCAGTAAGGTTTGATTGATTGATTGATTTTATTCATCTCACAGTGTATAATTTTTCTCGTTACTTCAGCTCAAATAGTCAAAGAAGAAGAAAGTGCCAAAGGTAGAAAAAGGTACATGAGATATATACAGTATATACAGTGCATCCACATATGACAGTTTTTTTTTTTATTATACAGGGTTATTGCACAGGGTGTTTACATGGGTATTTATATAGATGGGTATTTATATTTATATATATAGTTTATAACTTTGAACCAGGTTCTCATCTGTATGAATGGATTTAAGATTTAATTGGATTTAAGGAATTTGTCAGGGCATACCAACAAATGACTGTGTTTTTATCCAAAACAAGTCTATTGTGGCTATATATGCTGGGCCTTGTTCTAATGGAAATGAGACCCCTCCCCATTCTTTTCCACAACTATCTCTCTAACCTGTGGGCTGTGTTCATTGGTCTTAATTGGGGTTGTACAATGTCAGGAAAAAAAGATAACAATAAAACTTCTGCTAAAACCAAGTGCAGTGACTTTGCCTTTTTTTCTTTACCTTCGGACAATGTCATCTTACTCAATGGAAGGGTCTTTGGCTCTTAAACATATAAAGGGCATTCTGCAGACAAAATTAATATGTCTATACCAGAAATATGACCTTCTAAAAATTTTGGCTAAGTAGTCCTTTGGAATCAAATTATTACACATTAGACATTGCCATAACAACTGTAGTTTAATGTATTGTGTAGCTCTAGCCTTCATAGTGCTGTTTGTTCACTGATGTTCTCCAATAAACCTGTTAGACCTTCTCAGAACTGCTGGATTTATACTGGGAGGAAATTACACACAGCTGGACTCTATTTACAAAGTGAGTCCCTTCCGGGTGGAATTGGTTGCACCTTTATTTAAGGCTGTCAAGCTAATGGGGGCAAAATACAACTCAATCTCATCTTCAATATTACATACTTCTTTGCACTGTTCTATCAGATAAAGCCCCTTAAAATAAAATAAATAAAAAGGAAAAATATATACTTTTATAGACAGTATACACAAACTAATCTTCCCAAACCTACCATAACTGTTTTATGGTGAGTATTTGCTGGCTTTGTGATAAATTAGTTGTAAAATTAATTTTAGAACTTTCCTTTATTGCTGTTGATGACTCTCTCTGTCAGAAAACTGAAGAGACTTATAACCAAAGCCAGTTGCAATATCTGAGCATGGTTAACACTGAAGCCTTGTGTTTTTGACAGTGCCTATTTTGATATATGTGTTTATGAAAGGTTTCGACAACAATACAGAATCTCATAGAATATCTGGACAAAATCCCCATGGATGCATATAGAGCCTATGGAAGTTGACAGTCGCTATAAAAGCAAGAGTGTTAGTGCAATTTTAATGCGGAGTAAGTTTGCTCTTTCTGCCTTTGTTCATAAATCCTACTGGCTCTTTTTATTGTTAAAATCTGGATTAGGTGCTAGTGAAGATTCTCAGTCATCCAAAATGGTTAAAAAAAATCCACTGGACTTTGTTTCCAAGTTTGAAGACATTTCACTTCCCATCTTGGAAGCTTTTTCAATTCAAAATGTCAGAATTAGCTTTGAACGATGGTGACCAGATTTGGGTTTCTGAAAAGCAGGACCGGGACTTTGAGCATTCGAACTGAGCCATCAGCTCCGGGGCTGTCATGATGGGTTCACTAGTGAGACCCAGTTATGCAGAACACCACGGAGACGGAAACAGAAGTGAAAGGTTTAACAATGTTTATTGTCACAAGCACAGAATAAACCAATGGTTCTGGTTCAGGCCTGGGGAACTGGTTCACTGGAGTCTGCGTGGGAGACAGTTCAGTTAGCGTTTGCTCAGAGGAGTTTGATTCAGACAGTTTCAGATTTGTACCTTGAGGGTTCTTGGTCAAAGCCTTGAGAGGGAAACTGTTGGGTCCGGAGATAGTTTGTTCAGCAGAGTCCGTTAACTGCTTCAGCGTCTTACTTCTTGAGAGAGAGCTGACCTTGGCTTAGAGTTTCCAGCTCTTGGTCCAGAGCTGCATGGGAAT